CTGAGAATGCTCGTGAGAGTGCTTCACAGAAACACTCACTCCTCATCCGAGGACTACTATATTCAGTCCCATGACTCCTTGTAGCGATTTGATGATTCTATCGATAGTATGCGGATGTACACCACAATATTTGCTTGTCGAAGGTGAATGAACTGGGGGCGGTGGCAGTATAACTCAGCAGTCATATGTTTTGGTGGTTAACTACGATAAGTATAAACAGGTCAACACAACAAAATCGAAATGAGGTCAGCAAAAAACAGCATCTTTGAATATTGTTCAATTGTATGCTCATGTGTTGTCTCCGTAATTTTGGCGCACCCTGTACGACATTGGGGGCGTTTTTGGCGAACGTTTTCGAGTCACGATTATGGATGCATCTCTGTGATTGTGATACCCGTCCCCAAAATTGGTGAAGGTGGTGGTTTCGGAAACCTAACTCGACCTGTGCTCTAATATGGCCGGAAAAGATATTAAGCGCTTCAGAAAGTTCTGTCGTTTTCCGACACTCCACATTTGAATGCTTCATTTCAATTGAAATCTAGCGAAACTGCAATCGGTATGGATATCATTTTGAAGAGCTTTTCCAGCTCTATCCAACGCTTAGCTCACTTTGCCTAAAACATTTTCTTATAGCTTTTTCAAAGCTTTGAATGCGGTATACTCGATGAGCAAGTTGGCATGACTTTCTTTTTCTAGCTTTAAATAGACCTGAAAGTAGCGGGAACAGTTCAAGATATTAACGATGCACTTGGCCTAGATTCGCAATAAATGTGCTCAGAAGCAGTAGTTCAAAAAGTTATTGTAACGAAAGCGAGAGCCTTGGTATGATGAGAGTGGTGGTCGGATATCGGACGTTGCCACCGATTAGCCAAAAGTTCTGATTGAGGCACTCGTGCGTAAGACCATAGAGGAGGTTCTGCCCAACCTGGGCGTATATGGTTTGTACAGCCAAGCTATACGGAAGTAGCTGGAAAGTCCAAAAAATTTGATAGGGGCGTGCCGCGACAAATCACCAATTTGAAGGGTCGTCCATCAAATTGTAGCTTGTTTTATGTGATAAAAGCGACTCGTTTTTCTACAGATTTGCGACAATAAAGAAGAGGATTCTTCTCTATAGCCACGAAGTTTGCTGAATAGATCGACGGCGATCAAGCTCTACAAACTTTGCAAAATTTAAACTGTGCTGGAGGAGGGTTGTGGCAGCTTTCATGGGGTCAGCGGCTGGCCATGTTCTTCAGTATCAGGTGGAACTGTTACAGTGGAGAATCAATCTTAACATTACGTCAAAATCACCAAAAACTCCAAGACATGGGTCCAGCATTCCTCATTATAAAGGAACACACATCCCTGAAAGGTGTCTTGGACGCACATCGCACCGCCAACCCTGCACAAGTTGGACCAGCTGACTACGGAGTGATGCTGCAAACATCTTACTCAGTAGACCTCTGTCTATCAACTGTCACTTTTTCTGACGATCTCGATAGCTTCCCTTGAAGAGAAATGCTTCAAAACCAACATGATGCTAAAACGACCTTCCCTCAGTTCATCGCCTCCAGAGGCTCCAGCATTCCAAACAAACGTACCCACTGAAACGGCTTCTTATAGCGGAAGGTTAGCGCATTCAAACGGTTTTTATTTCAACTCGAAAGGTTTGGTTTAAGCCGAGATACATGCATTTGAAATTCGGTGTCGAAAAACGACAGAATCTTCCCAAAACTCCTAAGATTTGCACTTATCTAAGGTAGACGGCAAAATATTTTTTCGCGGTCGTTTCAGTGGAATCTCATATCCACTCCACTTAGGTTTTCGCTTACCTTTATTGCTTTTTTACTTTTATATCATATATCTTATATCTTATATCTTTTACTTTTATTCATGCTAATAAAAACTAACTAGGATTGAACTGACTGGCAGCTTCGGAGTGTTTGGAAAGGCTCTACTAAACTAAAGCATACTTAATGATTCTCTGAATGAGGTCTTTTATTTAATACTTATTTTACGGGGCTTTTATGGGATAGGTACAAAACATGGGAGAAGAAGCTAGGTATGCTCAAAGATAACTTCGTTCAAATTACATGGGTGGGAAGCGCTATCATGCGATTCGGTGAGGAGAGTTGTAGACATCTGTGAGAATTGCGTGCAGTGCGTGAAATTTGCTACGAGGAATACTGCATCTTCAATTATCGCTGTCACATTCGCGCTTACTCATAACTCACCCTAGCACTACTGTGCTGAGATTATGAGAAAGCTTTTTTGTCTATCGAACGGATAAAAAACGGCGAGAGCACAGACTAGGATTGATATCGAAAGTTCAAAAAATTCAAAGGTCCCTCATTCTCTCACAGAATAGTGCCTACAAAAACGAGAACGAAAAAAATTGATTAAAAATTCATTCCATTTGTTTCCGCATTCGAATCAGACGAAAAAGGAGCTATATTTGATCAGCTGTTGAAAAGTGCACTTAAAAGTGCGTTCAGCTTCACACTTACCATGGAACTACCGTAGGCACACCGTACAACTGAGTAATCACAACTGGGTTTCGAATCATTGTTTAGCTTTTGCCTACGCACGTGCTATCCCCCTCACTCGTCACTGTTATGGCAACACATATAAAAAGCGAAGTCGAAGAGAGAATAAACAGTTTCTAACTGAAAATGAAGCCTGTCTACCTGCTATTTCTGCTGACCTATGCAGCCGCTCAGTACGGTTACGGTAAGTGGCATTTTATGATAGCCATCTAATTAAAAGCGTCCACGCGCGAGTTTAGGCAGTCAGCAGCCTTCATCCTCAAAAGAAACCGCCACAAGGAAGCAGTTCGATATACTGCTTACCATGTGTTGTCTTCGCCACGCTGTTGCAGTTCTACGCTCATACTGCGGCCACAGTAAGTAACTAACGCGACTCTCATAATATTATTTTTAATATTATGTATTTATCCCAAATGTCCTTGCCCCTCCATAATGCAGATCGAAAAGAAAACGATGATTAGGCTGTATGAGAGCAAAACCACGATATGCATGGAGGCTGAATCTAGGCTGAGCGTTATCGGAATAAACGCAATGATTTCCCAAGCAACTCAACCCAAAGTATAACCCTGTTCCACACCGCTGAGAGGATTTGATGTCAAAGAAGCTCTAATCACCCCGTACACACCTTTCAATCGGTACGCATGTGGGGACAAACACAAGCCACAAGCAGTAAATTCTATATTTCGAAGCTGGAGGGAGGAGAGGATAGAGTATCACCTGTCGTCCCGTTGATCATCGAATTGCTCGAGCGGGCGCCAGCAACGTCTCCATTCGTCCCTGTCGCGTGCAAGAGTTGTCCAGTGGACCCTCCTCGCTCGAGGGACACGATGTCCTTCATTCCTTTCGTTCAGAGCTTTCGTGAAGAAGTCTGACCATCGGGCCGGCGGTCGTCCAGGTGTTCGTTTGACGTCCCGAGGGATCCAGTCGGTAACCGCTCTGGTCCAACGGTCATCGCAAAATCGCATGACGTGTCCGGCCCACCTTATCTTCGATTCCTTGGCGAAAACGGCAGCGTCCCTGATCTTCGATCGTTGGCGTAGTTCGGCACTCCGGATTCCCCTCTGCACTTGCGTGTATAGGGTTACTCCTAGCATCGTCCTCTCGACAGCGCGTTGGATAACGCTGACCGCATGCTCGTCCTGCCTGCGCAGAGTCCAAGTCTCTGAGGCGTAGGTTAGGGCAGGAAGGACAGCGGAATCGAAGAGGTGGGCACGGAGCCGGATGTTCTTCGTCTTCTTCACTACTCCCTCGATGTTCTTGTACGCTCCCCAAGCCGCTCGTTTCCTCCTGCTCAGCTCTGGAGCTAGATCGTTCATCATATTGATTTCCCGACCTAGGTACACGTAGCTGGAGCATTCGGTGATGTTCGTTCCGTTGAGCGTGAATGGGGCATCAGGAACCAATCCGTTTCTCATAAACATCGTCTTCGTTAGGTTCAGCTGCAGACCAACCTTACCACAGGCGCAGTCGAAATCAGCCAGCATTCGCTCCGCTTGCTCGATGTTCGGCGTTATAAGAACGATGTCGTCAGCAAAACGAAGGTGGTGTAGTTGCCGGCCGTCGACCTTCACTCCCATGTCTTCCCATTCCAGTTGACGCATGACGTTCTCGAGAGCGGCGCTGAAGAGTTTGGGCGAGATGGTGTCGCCCTGTCGAACCCCTCTCTTGACGTCGATGATGACCTCCTTGTAGAATGGTGAGATTCTGGTCGTAAAGTTGCTGTTGTCGTAAAGTTGAGGGACAGAGTAGGAAGATAAATCTATCGCAATAAGCAGTATGTTGATGAGATTTACTTTTTTTGAGCGTTCTTTACCCAGGAGATCACTGTCGGCAATTCAATACATATATTACAGTATCGATCGCATAGTTTAGGTTTAGAAGTGTTTATTTCGCAAAAATAAAACTTCGGGTCGATTACAGTTAGCGGGGGGGGGCTGCCGTAGTTTCTCTTAGAAACTGCATCATGATGCCCCCCCCCCGTAAAATAGACCCAAAACTTATTCTACATTCTGATGTCATGCAAGACCTATTTTAGGGCTTTTGATTTGTTCAGTTTAGGTGATGAATCTAGCATGTATGTCGCTTGACCTTGGTGCAGCATGCAGCGGAACGGGAAGAATGTTCCTCGGAGCGCTGGAGGTGGGCGGTGCACGACACGCTTGCTCTCTTATTCACTTGTGCGCTAGCAACGGCAATTCACTTGAGGTAGGTGGCAGTTCTCGCGAGACAGCATACTGTATTGTTAACCGGAAGGTTGACTTGTTTTCGTAGCAATTTCTCTCAACGGTTTCTGGCATAGGTTTCGTATAGTGTTGCATGCACACTATTTTGACATTCAGGTACCCTCAGCATTGAAGCCGATCGCCGAAGATATTCAACAAGTCGCTAATGGTATGTGTTGGCAACTCTTATCAGTCCTACGATACCACCTCCCCTTGTACTAACTTAACGGAGTTGAAAGAGAGGTTTCCTGAAGAGTGATCAATGCCTACAGAGTGCTCTCTCGAGTCGCATCATTGAAGAGCATGAAGCGCATTTCAACGTGGTTTTCTCTAGCTGAGACATCAGACGTGCACGTCAGACGTGCTCCCCGGTCATAGTCGGTCGGTGCATGCGATTCCAATCGAGGCTTCACTCTGGTGCAGCCGTTCTCATTCAGATTGCGAGCCATGGAGGTATGGCCAGGTGTCTGCAAAAATCATTAGTAGAATCGTCTGTGTGCAGCTTTAATTCATGGCGCAAGGGGTTCTCTTCGGAAGGGTCTGGAAGTCCAGGGTGAGGTTGACCTCCGTAGCTCGCATCGTCTTCTGCCATTGAACCGAACCACTAGCTAAGTTCTATCAGTAGCACACACTGAGCCAAGCACAGCGCTTATCTTCTCTACTACCCTCCTTGCAAAAGCGTTTATTTGGGGATCGTAAAGCATAAGTCGTTGGTTATTGTCACTGATCTAATACATCTCCTCGACTTTCAGTTAGTTATCCCCATGCGGACTTAACCTTCCAAACCCTGCTGGATGACGGTCTAGATCTAGAAGCTTCGGCTCGAAGAAATTTGAATTTGAACAAAAGCCGGACAGGAATTATGGAAAAACCCAATATTAGGTAGTGGAGAAAGTTTAGAGAAGAATTTCGAAAGTAAACGAGTGTTGACTCGAAGCTTCCCTGAAAAAGGCGTATAAAGATGCGTGCTTTTCAACTTGGTTTAATTACAACGTCAATTCCACAAGAACGACTTCGAGTCATCGCATAGTATGAAAGACGCCGTAGCATCCACCTGTCGACCGTACTTAGAAACATCAACGGCGCAATGGGTAAGGGCTACTGTTTCCCCATGCACCGCTGGCAGCCCGCTTTTCGGAAAAGACACCGTATTTGATGGTAAAACTTGATCGGATCTGTGCAAGACTTCGTTGTTCTGCAGCTTGGGTCGGAACATAATATCGTCGTGCATTTTCATTTCTGCACACAACCGCTTGAAGCGGAAAAAACGAATTTCCTTTCATGGATGTGGCTGGTAAGATAAATAGGGCGGCTTTTTCGTACCACTTTAAATCCGAAAGCTGAATAGGTCTGAGAGGTCAAGAATCTCTCAATAACTGATACTTATAGTGCAATGTAAGACACTAGATAAGTGTGACAACAAAGTTTTTTTGGTGAAGTAAAGATCATGCTATTCGAAGAGTTGGAGCAGGAAAATCTCGTGCTATAAAATTAGCTTACCACCGGAAAAGGCGGTGTTTGACCATGACTGCTTCTTTTCATGATGCTGGTTCGATCCAAGCATTACTTTGGAGATGGATATTTTTAGAAAATAAAAGTGACGTAATGACGACTTCAAAGTGCACCTTTTTATCTATGTGGATGATCGGCGAGCCTTTGCTTACCATCTCTGAAGATACTCATCAAAGTTGCAATTTTTTGTGAGCTCAGAAAAGAAGAAATGGATGGTTAAAGGCAAAGTTCAGGCTCAGACCCACCTAAGAAGCCCTTACCATGGCTAGAAGTGCTGGGTACGCAAGTGCAAAGGTAGCGCCACCTTTCTACATCGAAACGCGTCACTAGGACCCTAGGCGCCATGCAC